AGACTAAAGCAGAAGGTTTATGAGTTCAAGGACAGGCTGGCACATATCTATAGTCTCAGCACTCACGAGACTAAAGCAGAAGGTTTATGAGTTCAGGGACAGGCTGTGTTACATAGCAAAGGCTCTCTGTCAAAAAACCAAGGGCTTAGCCGGGTGTGGTGGCACACGCCTTTAATCTCAGCACTCAGAAGGCAGGGGCAGGAGGATCTCTGTGAGTTCGAGGCCAGCCTGGTCTACAAATCGAGTTCTAGGACAGCCAAGGGTACACAAAGAAATCCTGTCTCAAAAAACCAAAACCAATAACAACAACAACAACAACAACAACAAACCCAAAAAGATCCTCCAAAGGCTGGTGGTACAGCTCAGTAAGAGAGCACTGCTTAAATTATACAAGCCCTTAGGTTTGATCTTCAGCACAACACACACACACACACACACACACACACACACACACACACACACACGCACACACACAGACATACACAGAAACACAGACACACACAGACACACAAATACACAGACACATAGATACACACACAGGCACACAACACATACACACACAGACACACACACAGAGACACACAAACACATAGATACACACAAAGACATATACACACAGACACATAGATACACACAGGCACACAGACACACACACACAGAGATACACAGCACACAGACACACACAGACACATAGATACACACACACACACACACACACACACACACACACACGAGAAAAAAAGTACTTGTTGGTTAAGGGAAGGGGACAGCATTTAGGAGGCTGAAGAGATATCAAGACTGGACTTGGGTTGAGAAGACTCATGAGAATGATGAGATTGCTTGAATAAACTTAGCGAGACTAATTCCTACGTTTCCCATGAGATGCAGTAAATTGCTCATATAAGGTAATGGGTGTGCATGCACTTATCACTCAAGAAAGCAGTAAGTGCTTAGGACGTGTGTGCCACTGGGGGCCCATGAATAAAAATACATACTCAAGGCATGACCATATCCCTAAAGTATGTGCATTTGCATATGCGCTCACAAGGCGGACAGTGCATACACACATCTGCACTTCAGGCTTCAGAGAAGAGGAACAAAGCTGCACCCTGAGCCACTTCTTGCCAGCAGCAATCATGTCATTTTTAGGAAAATGAGTTCTCTGGAGTGTGATCTTGACCATCAAAAGGGCATTTAATGGTTATGCTGGTTGAAATAAAGTGGTACAGTTGGCCATACATTTTTAAAGAGACACCACATTAGGAGCAACCGAGGCTGGGAGATTTATGGGTAATAGTGACCTTACTTGCTGCACTGGTAAGTCATATTACCTACCTGTTCCAAGGCTTTCATCTTCTCTTGTTTTGTTTCAAAATAGTTCTTCTGAAAAAAGGAGGTGAGGCTCTGGCTGACACTTAAGGGGGTGTCTTCACCAACAAATGTCTCGAGGAGTTGCACAAACTGCAGCAAGTTGAGGGACACTCCATCGAAGGCACTCCTCCCTTTTATTTCCTTGTAAGTCTGGATATTCCTAACAATCGCATGTAGGTCTGTGAAGCGGGATGCGTCAGGCAGTAAAGTAAATGCTTCTCTCAATTTCAGGGAAAAACCAAGCCCCTGCTATGATAGAAACCTCCCATCACTTTGTTTTGGGGCAGAGGATTGGACATGGGCTTTGCACATCCTAAGCACGGACAGTACCGCTGAGCTAAAACTCTGCCTCCAACATCCTTTGGTTTTGCCTCTCAGGAATCCACGCTCCCTCTATGAGGATGGCATCCATGGTTTTCTCTGGGGAATAATTCTCTTCCATGGCCAGTTTGAAGGAGGAGTGAGAGGGCACCGAGCCTTCCTACCCTGGCTCCATGGACATATGATGTAAGATTTGGCCAAGAATTCACATACGACAACAACACAGCCTACTGTAGGCCAATGAGAATTAGCTTCAGCACTATTTTGAAAACCACTAAGGAGATTTTTGTTTTGTTTTCTGATTGCTGAATTAGTAGCATGTGATACATAGATAGAGCTCCTGTGGCCACTTTTGAGACAATGTGAAGGGAACCTGACTAAAATTGAAAGTGCCACAGACTGTGGCTGAGAGGCTGAGAGAAGGTGTCCTCGATTGGAGCTGGTTACGCTCAAAGCCAGCTACAGGCTGGAGTTCCCACTTATATACATTAGTAAATGCTACACACCAGCTCCTCCCCCCCGAGGGGGTCAGCTAACACATTTGTCTGGGAGAGCAAGGTGGCAACATGAGGTATTTTTCATAAAATGTTAGCCTACTGACTCATGCTTCATTTACGCCTTGAGTCAACCACTCCTGCCATTTTGATTCTATGTGGGATCTGATGTAACTTAGAAATAATTACCCAAAGATTTTAAAAACATTGCCAACCAAAACTGACATAGAGAAAGAATATGAACTTGCTAGTCATAGGAACTTGACAAACATTATGTATGTTCATTAAAACATTTTGAGGACAGACAGTATATCATTTTTGCCTTGGGAAATGGTTCCATGGGTAAAGGCTTTGCTGAACAACCATGAGAAGCTGGATCCATGTAAAAACTGGGTACAGCAGCATGTGCCTATAATCCCAGTGCTATGGGATGTTGACAGGAAGATCCTGTGGTAATGCTGAACAGCCAGTGTAGCTGAAAGAGCAAGCTCCAGGTTCCATGAAAGACTTTATCTACTGAATAGTAAATTGTCAGCAACAGAAAAAGATACATCAACCTCTGGTTCTTACACATAATGCATGGATGCATGCACCCATATGTAAGTGCACAAAAACATGCATAAATCACATGTGCAAATACCAATTAGTTAATTAACTAAATTAAAAACAAAATTCACTATTTGATTCAAGCTTAAATGAGAAAAAAATTGCATGTAGAAAATAATCTTGATCTAATTATAATTAGTTCTACTACTTAAAGTGATGGAGAAAATAATAAAATAGCATTTTTAAAAACATGATTGTTGCTTGATATAATTGTAGCTATAAAATGCGGCTTATCTGAGCGGTAAGAACAGCTCTTCCGTTGGTTCAATAGTTTTTCTTTGTTAAGTCTTCATAAACAAGACAGACTCACCTGCCTAACATGTTTGGGTGTAGACCTACTAGGAAAACAAATAATGTATTTTTAATGAGTTCTAGCTAATATCTGATTCCCTTGTATGCTTGGATCATGTCGTTAAAGCAGTGTGAGGGTATGCAATAGTTAAAAATAAAGTATACCAATGACAGCAATTTTAAAGCCTGAGGACGCTCACCAATAGTATATGTCACTACCGAAAGCATACCACCACCCAAAAACAAACAAACAAACAAACAAAACCCCATCTTCCTTCTATTTAGGTTAGTCAGTTCCCGGGGACAAGAGAGATAGGGATGTCAGTGTGTTTTAGTTGAAGCCAGCCTTCAGCACCAGACACAGTGGTAAACTAGAGCCATGTGTTCGACTGTCATCTGTGTTTCCGAGTTTGTTAACATGCACCTGTGAATCTGGAGTCACCGTAGATTAATTTTGCCTGCTCCTCATCTTCAGATTGTGCCTTCCAGTCACAGGCCAAAAATTCACCTGTGAGAAACACATTCCACAACACAGCTCGTTTTATTCCACTTTAACCATGCTTTCCCTCTAGTGTACAAAGACAAGAAACACTGAGTGAGATACTACCTGACCATGATTTTCCTTCTATGTGTTGGGGCTTCGGTTCGCAGGCTTTGTCTTTCTCAGGGTCCATTTTTGAAGCTCCTACTGGAATAAAGAAAAAGACAAGGCTGGTGTGATGGCGGGTGGGTAGAAGTGCTTGTTCTCAAGTCCGGTGACCTGAGTTTAATCCCAAAGATTCGAATGGTAGAAGGAAAGGACTGATGCCTGAAAGTTGTCCTCTGACCTTCACACGTGTACTGTGACATGCACACACACACACACACACACACACACACACACACACACACACACACACGAAAAGAAAATTTCTATGGATTAGAAATAATATAATTCATTAGACATTCTGAGTGAGCTTAATGAGACAAATTCCTTGCATACATAACAGCCCAAAACCCAAGACCTTCCCATGTATGTGTATCATAACCAACCACAATGGAATCACTTAATAATTTTAATTGTTGAGAGAGATTCTGTGGCAAAAGCTATTTGTTTGGCCACACAGAGTGAGGCTGTATTTCCCAGCCTCTCTTATAGCAGAGTGTTACTAGATGTCTAAATTCTAGCCAATGGGATGAATAAATATTAAAATTCAGGGGGCTGGAGAGATGGCTTAGCCATTTAAGAGCACTTATGCTTGAAGAGGGTCTAGGTTCTGTTCCCAGCTCCCATACCGTGTCTCACAACCATCTGTAACTCCAGTTCCAGAGGAACCATCGCCCCCTTTTGGCGTCTGTGGGTATTGCACACATAGTGTAGACATGTATACAAGCAAAACACCCATACCCATAAAATAAAATTTAAAAATACTTTAAAATATTTAAAATCCAGAGTGGTTTTTTTTTTGGTCTGAAACACAGTTTTTGGAAACTCTTATAGAAAAAAAATGCAAAAATGAAAGATGTAAAATCCTGATTTTATATGTTTGTTTTTCTGAGACAGGGTCTCTCTAGATAGGCTTGACTTGCCTGGAACTCACTATGTAGACCAGGCTGGCCTCCAACTTGTGGCAATTCACTTTCCTCTGCCTTCTGAATGTGAAGAATAAAGTCATACGCCACCATGCTTGGGCCAGTTGTTGAAATAAAAGAAAATTTAAAAGTGATTTTCATTTAAAACAAAAATATTTCTGCTTAAAAACAAAACACTGCTAGATTTCATATTAATGGACTTCTGGTAAAAAATGAAATTCTAGGTAAATTAATAATAAACATTCTGATTCTCATTTAATCGAGCGTTCAAAGTCTAGACTCAAGTATTGAGCACCAAAATACATCTGTGGTTTTCCATGACATGATACGCCAGCAGAGATCCTAACTTAAATGAATACTTTCTAAAAAGATTTTTAAACAGCCATTCCAGAAAGTGTATATGTGTGTACAGAAAGATGATTTTTATAGAATTCAATAACTACCTGGAAGGCGATCTTTTTTGCTGCCCCCTGGCTTTTTGCTGTTTGCGGGAACTTCCTCACGCTGTTGGGAATCCATGGCAGCTTGCTTTTCTTTTATGGCTTGCTTTTCTTTTATGGTCGGCAAAGGCTTTTCTTCTTGAGATTCCATTTTATCAAATTTCAAGGCTTCACTTTCTTTTAAGGTGCCGCTTTCTTGTAATTGTGAGGTTGAGTCTGCGGCTGGTTCTTCTAGAATGGTGTCTGTCGTCGGCGATCCTTGTTCTGACTCGTACTGTGGCTCTTCTGTTATGGACTCTTCACGTGTTTCATATTCTGAATTTGACGCTTTGCGTCCCGCTGACCCTTTGCGCTGACCTCCAGTTCCTTTGTGCTGTCCTTGGTCTATCAATGATCCTTTGCGCGACCCGGCTTCTGAACTTCTACGAGACCCAGTATCTACAGATGACCTTTTGCGCTGTTCTGCGATTGATGCTCTGTGTTGCTCAAGTTCTGAAATTGACCCTCTCTGTGATCCTTCTTCCTCTATGACTGACCCTTCCTGTGGTTCTTGTTCTGACACGGAGTCACTGTTTGGGTCTTGCCCTGTCTGTGGCTCCTGTTCAACTGCGGAAGTTCTGCGGGACCCTTGCTCTGCAACTGACCCTCTCGGCTGTGTTGGCTCGGCTGTGGAAGTTCTGCGGGACCCTTGCTCTGCAACTGACCCTCCTCTGTGCGATCTTGGCTCTGCTACTGACGTTTTGCGAGATCCTTGTCCTGAACTGGATGATTTGCGTGACCCTTTGCCCTGTCCTTGTCCTGTAAGAGACCCTTTGTGGGGTCTCTTTTCTTTGCTGGCTCCTTGTTCTGAAGTCAGTGGTGTTCCTGGCTCTGTGGCTGATTCTGGGGATGGTTCTTGGTCTGCACTTGTCTCTCTTTGCTCTTGTGGGAGATTTTGATCTTCATTTTCTTGGAGTTTGCTAGCAAGTTTTTCAGCCATTATCACATTCATCTTTAAGAGCACCTCATCAAAGTCTTCATAAATATGCTTCTTCATATCCATATCTCCCCAGAACTCAGACAACTCTATCTCCTCAAATTCAATTAATGGCCCTAATGCACACAACAAAGGAGTTATCTAAATAAAATCTTATAGTGTAGAACTAGAATTATTGAATTAATGCAAAAAATAGCATTGAGGGCAGAGATTATAACATAAGCTTATTACTTTAAAAATAAATATCAGAATTGGGTGTGGTGGCTCGTACCTTTAATCCCAGCACTTGGGAGGTAGAAGCAGGGAGATCTCTGTGAGTTTGAGTCTAGCCTGGTCTACATAGTGAGTTCCATACATAAAGAGATCCTGTCTTCAACATCAACAACAACAACAACCCCAAGCAAAAAACAAAATCAGGTACCTTTTGCTGCAATTAGAAACTCAAAGAACACAAAGAATTCTCACTACTATGAATTAATTATCAGCCCTTCCGGATGGTGTGGTTTACAAAATGAACGTGTCTTTTATTTTGCTGTTTGGAGTGTTGCTTGGATAGTTAAATGAGATTTGTCCCTTACCTCTGTGGTCCCTTTCCACACAATTAGCACAGCATAGAGATGGGAAATGGAACTGTCTTTCCATCTCGAGTACCTTTTAAAATATCTACAATACAGGCTGGAGAGATGTGCTTGATGCACGGCACTGAGGACCTGAGTTTGATCCCTAGAACCCACACAGAGATAGAAGAAGAGAATCGATTCCACAAAGTTGCCCTCTGACCTCCACATGGTCACTGTGGCATGCGTGCACCCCCCCCCCAACACACACACCTCCCACTCATACTCAAATAATAATAAATTAAAAATCCTACACTATATGAACAAAAGCTAGCCTTATCGATGGCAAGCTTTCACTGGGTTTACTGTCCATCCCTTCATGTTCCTTCAGTTCTTTATTCCTCAACTCTTCTTCTATGACGTAAGTGGACACGTGCTTCAGAATTTTATGCAAAGAATTTAGAGTGAAGCTCAGGGGTAGGTTGTGTGTTAAATATAAGTTCAGTTTTTAGTACGGAAGAAAGAAAGGGAGTGAGAGACCAGAGCGCGAGAGAGTTAAGAAGGAAGGACTTCAGGGAAAGACTGACTGGATGCTTTTCACCAGGATCCTGCTGTTGATCCCAGCAAAATCTGCTGCATATGATTATGCCAGCTGTGATCCCAGGAGAGGGAGAGATTTAAGGTCTCCAGGACTTATTAGGCTACATAGTGAGATCCCGTCTGAAAAAGTATATCCCCCCAATAAAATTCCACAAAATCCTGTCTGCCCCCATTCTTCCCAAAATATTTAGTAATTAAGCTATAACACTGTGGCTCCTACAGCTTTTAGTATACCACCTACAGATTCTTAAGTTTCCAAGTAATAAGTCTACACACAAGAATAAGATATTAATATTGTTTAGCAAACTCAGCCATTAAAAGGCATTCTCTTAGAAAAAATAAAAATAGGGTCAGTGGATGCCTCGGAAGTAAAGGATCTTGCTGCTAAGCCAGAGGGAAGATCTGAATTGGATCCTCTGGCCCCACAAAGTGGGAGGAGAGAACTTACAGCTGCCTTCTGACCTCTACGGGAGTGCTATGGCACTCTCGCTCCCATAACAGATAAGTGTAAAAAACTACAACAACCCTGTAATGGTATTTATTGATAAACATATAAAAGAATATTTTTGCATGCAAGGTATACATGTATATTTTACAATAAAAGCAATATAAGTAAAGCTGCTTGGGAAAAGGAAATATCTCCCACAGAAATCTTAGAACTTTAAGTTGGACATTAAAAATAGAATAACCATTCTTAACTTAATTCCTAAGGCATTCAAAGCATCATCAAGGCCTTTCTTCATTGAAACACATTTAAAATTCATTCTAGCTGAATTCTGCTGTGGCAGAAGTTTGCATATTGCACTCTAGTGAGAAATACATGTAGCTGCAAAGAAAAGTGAATTCTGTGGGAGTATGAACAGTAGATAAGGTATGGCTACCATGACTCAGGGGGATGATATGCAGAGATCCCTCAGGAGTAAAATGATCCCATGTTATCTACCATTGTACTCCAACACCCAGCCTCAGTACCCTCTTACCTCTGAGTGACACTTACATTGTCTTGGGTTTCGGAGTAAACTCCTTGTAGTTTGTGAGCTTTGATCATAGAATGTTTCTAGCAAGGCCAGTGTCCTTTGCCGATCCAAGGCCTTCACCTATACGGAAAGATTGCAATGAGTAGCTGCAGCAGATTTACAAGTTTTTGTGATGCTAGATCATGACTTTCTGAGTAGGTTTATCATTGTGACTACCACCAGCTCCATCATTATCATAAAAATAAAAGCTACTCCATCAAAATCAATAAGCTAGATCTTATATTCATTATTTCAATAAGCTGGATCTTATAGTCATTTCTCTTGTTGTTACATGTCAAAATGCCTTGGGCTTAGTGGATATTTAACAAAGACTTGTTGTGACTGGCTTTACTTGATGAGTTCAATGCACAGGTCTCGGTTCTTACCTAACCTGACCTGTGCATTTCACAGGTAACTGCTCCTTACTTGTTTGTTTATACACTATTTTGAGAAAATTTTCATGACAGGAAAACCAACAAAACATGGTAAAGCTAACACCACCTGTGATCTTAGCAGCTGGAATTAACAACTGTTTAAAGCACATGCAGGGTTTGGGAGCTGGCTCAGTTGGTAAAGTGCTTGTCTTGCAAGCACAAGGGTCTGAGGAGTTCAGTTCCCAGGCCCTACATACAAAAGCTGGGCATGGTGGTGAGTCCTTGTAATCTCAGCACTGGGGAAGTGGGGACAGGTGGATCCCTGGGGCTCACTGGCCAGCCAGTCTAGTTGACTTGGCAAGTTCCAGGCCACTGAGAGACTCTGTCTCAAACAAACAAACAAACAAACAAACAAACAAACAAAAAGAATAACACCCAAGGTTCTCTTTTGACTTCTACATGTGCATGCATACACATACATGCACACATGAACATAAAAAAGCATGCACAAAAGTGTGCTAGACTGCTAAAACATATGTATCATTCTCTACATTACCATTTTATTTTATTTTATTTTTTAAAATTTTTTTATTTTTTGGTTTTTCCAGACAGGGTTTCTCTGTGTAGCTTTGTGCCTTTCCTGGAACTCGCTTTGTAGACCAGGCTGGCCTCGAACTCACAGAGATCCGCCTGCCTCTGCCTCCCGAGTGCTAGGATTAAAGGCATCACCACCACCGCCTGGCTTACATTGCCATTTTAAATTGTGGTTTTGGAAGGGGCTTGAGCCAGGACCTTGCTATATAGCCCAGTATGGCCTGAGATTTAGTAGTTAGCCCAGGCTGACCTGGAACTCAGTATTCACCTGTTTTGTCTTTCCAAGTTCTGGGATTACAGGTATATGTTACCACACTAGCTTTCAAAGTGATTTTGTTTCCTCAATGTTGGGATCTAATTTATGTAGATAACTATATTTTGTTCATTTTAGGGGCTAGAGAAATGGCTTGCTGATTTTTCAGGTTTGGTTCCCTGCACCCAAATGGCAGTTCCTAACCATCTTTAGCTCCAGTTCCAGGGATTCCAACCCCCTCTTCTGGCACCAGGCATACCTGTGGTGCATTTACATCCATGCAGACAAACTATTCATACATGTAAAGTAAAAACTAAATAAATCTCAAAGAAAAAAGAAGTATATTTTATTCATTTTAACTGCTATATAGTATAATATGAAAACACTGTAATTTCTTAGCATTCTTTTATTAATAGAATACAGAAATTGCTTCTGGTATTTTGAGAAAAATATGCTGCAATGTCTAATCTTACATACACCTCCTAGCATGCATTTAGATACATTTTATAAAATAAATATGTGGAATTACTATCAGTTTTGCTTATAAATTGGGTCTTTCCTCACTTTCTTCTGAGCTGTAGAACTAATAACAGGGCTAATACCAGCAGAGCAGCAAAGGAGACTTTTTTTCCCAGCTCTGGATGTGAATAGACTGAGCCATTCACGGCTCCCTCCAGCCTGTTGTCTGGCCACTGGTGGATACATCCAGAGCCAACAGGTAGAAAGTTTTGACTGCCTTAGGGGCTTCAGCTTGGCTTAGTCCCTGAAGATCACATGGTCCATGGTCTTCTCATCTACCATCTTCCCACTGTCCCGTTTCCCTCTGCAGCTTGACTCTAAAATGGCAACCACAGAGCTTCCCCAGAAGTTTCTAGCTGGTTCTTTATCTCATTCTCTCAGACTCCTTTCGAATTTTATCCATTTCCCAGCTCTGGATTCTCAGGCTTCTTTGAAATTCTTTACTTCTTTAATCCCTTGAAGTCATTCTGTAACACACACACACACACACACACACACACACACACACACACACACACACACACAAACAAACACAAATAGACACACAGACACACACACACACACACACATACACACACACAAAAGCTTTCTTTCTTCCTCCCTCCCTCCTTCCCTCCCTCCCTCCCTTTCTTTCTTTCTTTCTTTCTTTCTTTCTGATTTTTGGCTTGTCTGCTTGTTTGGAGACACAGTCTCTCAACATAGGCCTGGCTGTTCTAGAACTTATTATACACAACTGGTTGGCCTCGAACCCACAGAGATCAACCAGCTTCTGCCTCCCCAGTGCTGAGATTAAAGGTGTGGCCCACCACTGCCTGCTTTAGTTTCCTTGCTTTCAACAGTGTGGTCTACTCAAGTTTTTATCTTTCTAGAGGGCTGGGGTACTTTGCTGGTACTGCTACCATCTCCATTTCCAAAGATCTTCCGCCTGTTCCTCCTCGTCTTCTCTCTTCTCACAGTTCCTGAAGGGAGGTTCTCCATAGAGCAGCCTCTCTCTCCCTCAGCCCAGCTTCTTGGGAGAGCTGGTTCAGATTATTTGGCTGGATGTTAGGGACCAGCTGACTTCTTCCCTGAGCCAGGGGCTCTTCATCTTGCTTCTCTGCACACTACTCTATCCACAGATGCTTGTCTTCCCGTTTGAGGACCATGCTTTCTGGAACTGTTTAATTTTTTTTTAATTCCAGTATCTTCCTTCTTTCCTCCCATATATTCCCAGTGATCTCCCAGACAGAAGCTTACAGATCTTCTGGGATGTCTAGAAGGATGCACTGGGCAACACCAGGCAGGATTTCATAGTTGGGGAAGTTTGAAGATCAGATTTCCTGATCTTATAATACAGCAAATTTGGCTTTTTTGATGGTGACCTGAAATAAGAATCTGGGTCTTTCTAGAAGCTGACATGTGATCCTGCTTCTCCTTCAACCTCCACAACCAATGCATTATCATTCTTAAAGCATTTCCTGAACACGTACGAGTTCCCTCGACAGCTCTGTGCCTCTCAAGAGTAACTGCACAAGAATCAGCCTACCACATATAGTTCTTGTTCACTAAAGCCGTTATTTTTTTTTTTTTTTTGGTTTTTCGAGACAGGGTTTCTCTGTGTAGCTTTGCGCCTTTCCTGGAACTCACTTGGTAGTCCAGGCCAGCCTTGAACTCACAGAGATCCGCCTGCCTCTGCCTCCCGAGTGCTGGGATTAAAGGCGTGCGCCACCACCGCCCGGCTAAAGCCGTTATTTTTATGGGATAAAAAATTCTGGAATGGGCTCAGTTGTTTGAAATGCGCACACACACACACACACACACACACACACACACACACACACGCACACTACTTATTTATTTAAATAGATATATCTAGATTGTTTTACAAAGACACAATAGCTATTAATTTTCACTAGGAATGTTTGGGGAAATGTTTTCTTTTTGAGCATACAGTGATTCTAGGAATTGTGTGTTGGTGTTCTTTGTCCATTTTTCTTTAGGTGCCTATGTGGCATCCTGCCATTAGGTGCCAGTCACCGGTCTTGTTGACTGTGTGGTATACAGATATCATGCTGCTTACTCATTTGGAAGTTTTGTTAGGGTTTTTATTTTCTGTGCCCTCGATGGCTTTCTAGAGGTATTCCTGGAACTTCTCTGCACAGGTGACCCCCTTCACAATGCACATTTAGGAATGCTAATCGTTGGCTGTCAGGGTGAATGGAAAGTGCTCTTGGGTCTGTCAACTTAGACCGCCTTCCACTGTCCTTAACTCTCCCCAATCTGCCACCTACTTGTACTTTCCAAATATTTATAATGTTACCTTCAGCTTCCAGCTCTGAGTAGGGCCAAGGAATGGAGACTGAGGTAGTCATCTAACTTAGAGACCCAGACGACCTCTAAGTTAGTCACAGTCTCCAGCCTCCTCCCACCAGCCGGCCCCAGTTTCCTAGTAAGACATAAACTGCTTTGATACTAATTTTTGATACTATTATTTATTCTCTCTTGCTGTAGGATTCTCTAGTCTTTCTCAAGAATCCAGTATTTTTATCTTAAAATCCAGGTTTTCTAAATGTTTGTTTCAACCACTGTTGAAAAAAAAATCCATTCAGAAAGTCAATTGACTTTTGTATCCTGGATTCTACGTTCCTTCCAAAATCACCACATGACTGTTTAATGATGGGAGGAAAAACAGGGAGCACAAGCAAACCTCTACTAATTCCTCCAAATATTATCCCACCATGTTGACCATGGCACCGGAGTTGCTGTTAAAGTAACTGGCCAACAGACAGTAATTGCCTTCTAGGCATTTTACCAGGAAGTAAAAATCACGGTACCAGAACACCCTAGCAAGTTCTGTCAAAGAGGCACCATTCAAAGAAGTGCTTGAAAGACAAATAGGCACCACAGATTTTATAGAATATATTCCTGATTTAAGTTAAATTAGCAGAGATCTGAGAAGCGACATTACAATATGTCAGTTTCTTTTTGAGAATTATTTTTCTCTCAGCTGGTTGTGATTATCAACACATTTAATCCCAGCACACAGGAGGCAGAGGCAGGCAGATCTCTGAGCTTGAGGCCAGCCTGGTCTGCAAAGCAAGTTTCAGGGCATCCTGAGCTACACAGAGAAACCTGCCTTGAAAAAACAAAAAGAAAGAAAAGCGGGGGAGGAGGGAGGGATAAAGAAAGGAAGGAAAGAAAAGAGAGAGAAAGAAAGGAAGGAAGGGAGAGAGAATGAGAGAGAAAGAGAGAGAGAGGAAGGAAGGCAGGAAGGAAGGAAGGAAGGCAGGAAGGCAGGAAGGCAGGAAGGCAGGAAGGCAGGAAGGAAGGGTATAGGGGCCAGCAAGACGGCTCAACAGGTC